TTGACTCCTGGTGACTGCCTGGACAAGTCCCTGCAGTCTTCTTGGCAAGAGTTTTGGAAGTGGTTTGCCATTGTTTTCTTCCTAGAGCTGAGAGTGAGTGACTGGCCCAAAGTCACCCAGCTGGAACTGAACTCTCAGTCTCCCAGCTTCTAGCCACTATATCAAACTGGCTCCCTTATTCCATATAGCAGTCTTATTGTTAATAAGATATTAAGCCTCTGGTTAAGATGGAGGGGAGAATGAGAGCTGCAGAGCCGCTGTCCTTGTAATTTTGTATGTGTCTGCTGTGTACGTGTTTGCTGTGTGGAGGGATACTCTGGACTGGCACTCACCCGTATAAAAACTGGGACTGCTCAGGTTTGCTTGGACTTCTTTGGCTAGAGTAGTGTGTGCGACAGCAGCGCTTATCGTTTTGCTGCGCTTGCCATGCCTACCGCCCCAACTGTGTTTGTTGCGTTTGTAAACTTGGCGGCTCCTCTGAATTCAGTGACAGCATTTTTTGGGATTAGCTCAGCTGCTGCTGCTGTGATTGCTGCTGGAGTTGCTAAGTTTGCAGTGTTTGCCGCATTTGCGACCTTGGTGGCTTTCTTGAATTTGGGAGCAGCGTTCTTGGACTGGCTTAGCTGGCTTGGTTGGAGGAGTCTGCTGCTTGCTGGAGGGACTTCTTCACGCTGCTTTGGAGAACTGCCCAAGCTGTTTCTTTAAGGAGTGGACTGAGGAGCTGCTCCAACTGTGTCTTGGAGCTCTGGGGTGTTGTAGCCTTTTACCATCTGTCATTGGCTCTTCATCTGGACGCTGGGGTTCTGGAGGTGTAGGCAGGGGCTAGGCAGGATGGGAGGGTTGCAGTGGAGTGACAGACCCCCCTCCCCTGCGGAGGCCTTTCTGCTTCCCTCTGGTAGCCTCAAGAAGAAGAAAACACCACTACTCCCATTTAATGGTGAAGTGCCTGGGAGTTGGACTGTGGGCTTCCCACTAGAAATTGAATGTTATTCCCCCTCCTTGCCTTCCTCTGGGTGACAGCCAGAGGTGGGCTTGGTGGGAGGGTGAATGACTGGAGACTCTGCCAGCTGGTGGGAGCAGTAGGGTAGGAGGTCCTGGATGCTGAGTGGGGTGTGTGTGAGCGTGAGTGGGTTTGGATGTGTTGATCCTCTCTCTGGGTGAGAGTCGGAGGAGGAAATTGATGAAGGGTGAATGGGCAGGGTGCCCACTGCCTGCTGGTGGGAGCAGCAAGGGAGGGATCCCTGTGTACGTTTGTGTGTGAGGCTGTGGGAATGAAGTAGGGGAGGTGGCTGCTGGGCTCTGATGGCTCTGAGAGCTAGTAAGGTAAAGAGCCTCGGGGTGCCCAGTTCCCCTCCCAGGTATGGCTGGTAAGGACAGCAAATGCTCCCCAGTTCTGGGAATTGAGGAGTGTTGATATAGGGATGGGGCTGCTGTTGGGGGGATGGGGGTGGGCCAAAATATTATGGTGGTGACGGGCATGGGGAGATATGGTGGGAGACAGGGAGCAGGCCATTCCCAGGGACTGTAGGACCATTGTTTGTTGCCGGTTTCGTGTTCCAGCTCCGGTCTCCAGCTGCTGCTTCTAAACACCAGGTCAGTCTGTAAAATTGTGTTGATTTAATCACGGATGAGAGAGCTGACCTGGCATGTATCACTGAGACCTGGCTGGAGTCGGAGGGGGTGGGTAGCCCTCGCAGAGTTGTGCCCAGCCAGGTTTCGAGTGTGGCATCAGCCGAGAATCCGGGGCAGGGGTGGAGGTATGGCAATTTTCATCCGGGAATCTCTTACAACTTTCAGGGACACTGAACCACAGGTCACCAGATGTGAGTCCCTGTTCATCAAGTTGAGCTCTAAGGATCAGTTGGGATTGCTGCTGTTGTACCGGCCTCCCTGCTGCACAGCAACTTCCCTGCCTGAGCTCCTTGACGCCATGTCTGGGTTGGCAGTGGAGTTCCCCAGGCTTATGGTCTTGGGAGACTTCAATTTGCCTTCTCTAGGGATGGGGCCTGAGGGGGCTCGACAGTTCATGGCCACCATGACAGCCATCGGCCTATCTCAAAATATCCAGAGCCCAACACAGAACAGTGGTCATACGCCGGATCTGGTGTTCCTGTCGGAGCAGTGGCTATGTGATCTGAAATTGGGGGAGCTTTGGGTGTCCCCCTTGTCATGGTCAGATCACACCCTGATTACAATGGGATTCCCTAGCACCACTATCCACTGCAGGGAGGCTGGACCTATTAGATCAGTCCGCCCCTGGCGACTAATGGACCTGGATGGGTTCCAGAGGGAGCTGGGAGGTGTTCCTGTTGGTCTGCTGCACAGTCCATCTGAAGCCTTGGAAGCCGCTTGGAATAAAGGGGCGGCTGAGGCTTTGGATATGATCGCGCCCATGCAATCTCTCTCCTTTCAGGGATCCCGGCACTCTCCATGGTTTATGGAAGAGCTAAGGAAGAGGAAGCGAGAGACGAGACATCCAGAGTATCGCTGGCGCTCGACAAGGGACAAACTCAACCAAACATGGGTTAGAGCGGCTATTCATGCTTACTCAGTGGCGATAAGGGCAGCAAAGTGTCATTACTCCTCCATTCTTATTGCGTCCGCAGATAGCCGCCCCGCAGCCCTGTTTCGGGTGACACGAGCCCTCCTGGGTAAGGATGGCTCGGAGAACCTTCTGCAGGGACATGCGGAGGAATTTTCTCGGCATCTGTCAGATAAAATTGCTCGGATTCATTCTCACTTGGATGCTGGCTTTACTGCAGGTCCAGTGGAGGTACCTAGGGAGGAGTCTTGCCCTGTTATCTGGGAACAGTTTGAACCTGTTGGACCTGAGTGGACAGGGTCCTTGGGACTGTGAGCTCAGCCACTTGCTCTTTAGATCCATGCCCCTCCTGGCTTGTGAAAGCAGCCCGGGGGGTGTTGTGTGAGTGGGTTCTAGCGATGGTTAATGCATCTTTGAGTGAAGGGGTTGTTCCCTCACCTCTTAAGGAGGACTTGGTTCGCCCCCTCCTCAAGAGGCTATCACTAGACCCCACTATACTGGACAATTTTCATCCAGTATCTAAACTCCCCTTTTTGGGGAAGGTGATTGAGAAGGTGGTTCTGCAACAGCTTCAGAGGACCTTGGATGAAGCAGATTATCTGGATCCCTTCCAGTCAGGATTCAGGCCTGTATATGGGATGGAAACAGCATTGGTTGCACTTTTGGATGATCTCTGGTGAGGGTGGGATGGGGATTGTGCATCCATCCTTGCCCTACTTGTAGTCTCAGTGGCTTTCGATACCATCAACCATGGTATCCTTCTGACTGGCTCAGAGGATTGGGGGTGGGCAGCACTGTGTTGTGCTGGTTCACCTCCTTCCTCCAGGGCCGATTCCAGTCAGTGGTGGTTGGGGATGAGAGATCCCGCCCTTGGCCCCTGTTATGTGGGGTGCCACAGGGTTCGGTGCTCTCCCTATTTAACGTCTACGTGAGGCCACTGGGTGAGCTCATCCATCACCATGGGGTGAGGTATCATCAGTATGCTGATGATACCCAATTATACATCTCAGCCCCTGGAGAATTAAATGATGCTGTGAATGTCTTATCCTTGTGTCTGGAGGCTGTGAGGGTCTTGATGGGGAACAACAGGCTTCAACTGAACCCTGGCAAGACTGAGTGACTGTGGGTTCCGGGGCCTTCTGGTGCTAGAGTTATGCCATCTTTAGTACCGAATGGGGTTGCACTGCCCCAGACAGATCTTGTGTGCAATCTGGGGGTTCTCCTGGACTCACGACTCCTGCTCAAAGAGCAGGTAGCAGTCGTGGCTAGGAAGGCCTTTGCATAGCTTCGTGTGCCAGTTGCACCCATTCCTAGATCAGAGGGACCTAATCACTGTCACTCATGCTCTGGTCACCTCCCGTTTGGATTTCTGTAACGCGTTCTACATGGGGCTGCCCTTGAAGAATATCTGGAACCTTCAGCTGGTGCAAAATGCAGTGGTGTGGGCAGTTATGTGTGCCCCTAGGGAGGTACATGTTACACCTCTGCTTTGCGAGCTGCACTGATTGCCAGTTTGCTCCTGGGTCCAATTCAAGGTGCTGGTTTTAACCTTTAAAGCCCTTTGTGGCATGGGGCTGGGTTACCTGAGGGACCACCTCTCCCCAATTACATCTGCCCATCCCATCAGGTTTGGCAGAGAAGGCATGCTGTGGATCCCATCTGCTAGAGAATTACATTTGGCAGGTCCCAGGAGGCGGGCCTTCTCTGCTGTGACACCCACCTTGTGGAATCTTCTCCCCCCAGAAGTGAGATTAGCTCCATCCCTCT